ATAAAGTATTATAAGTTCTTCAATTTTTTAATAAACCCGAAGAAATTGCGAAATTAGCTGATTTTGAAACGTTTAACGTTACTTAATAGCTAATATAATAAAAAAAAAGTATGTAATACAAACATTTTAAAATTCTTTTAGAGAAAAAAACTTAAACCTAATGTAAATTGATAGAAGGGATTAGTCCGACAACAAAATCGCCAAATATTAAATGAAATATTTAAAAAAAAAAATAAAAATAAAAAGAGTTTTACTGGAAATTAAATTTATACAGGCGCGGATCTAGGGTATAGCCGTTTTGGCTAAGGCTACACCTTAAAATATTCAACGAAATAAAAAACAATATAATACTCCAACATATTTTTAAAATAAAAATAATATAAATAAGATAAGTTTATTTTTATTTGCTGTGTAAATTCGGTTTTAAAATTCGGCAAAAAAAAACGGAATTAAAAAAAAGATCGGTTATTGCATATCGATTTGTGGCTAAGCCACAAACGACCTGATTTTACGGCATAAGCTGACTAAATTATTGTTTTTTTAAATGTAATATATTTTTATTCAAAAGTCGTATGCCGTCAACACTCGTAGCCCGTGGCTAGATTGCTTTTTGCCTTGTGGCTGTACTTATTTCCCAGTCCAGCTATTTTCAAATAAGCAAAGCGCCTTTATTATTTTCTTAGAAAGTTGGTAATTATGGCGGATATGTTTTGAAAAAAAAACTGTTCCAAATGCTATTGATTCACATTCATAACATTAAATGTTGCGAAAAAAATTGTTTACAAAACGAAATGGTTTGAATATCTCACCAGTTTAATTTCGTAGTTAAACTTTTGGTTTGAAAATGCCCTGATATAAATGTTTTTATGCCATATTTTAAAATGGATCAAGGTTTTGACAAAACTTTTGTAGTTTTAAGGTATATATTTAACTATATTTTCACGGACTATATTTGTAATAAAAATAACTAGCTTTTTATAACTGTAACTAGTTTACTTATATACAACTGTTTCTGTGCTTATTGTTTTAAAATTCTTATAACATTTAACTAAAACATTAATATTTTATTAAACAGTTTAATACTATAAATAATAGTTTTGCCACAGAGCTATATAAACAATTTTTATTGTTTTTTGCCTTAAATGTAAATAATTAAAATATTACATTTTTATTTCTTCAAAAAAATTTTAATCTTCAAATTGAAGCTTTAATTAAAGAGGATCTTATAAGTTGATTTTATTGTTAACTAGAATCAAATATAATACAATATTGGAGACTATAAAATAAGTGAGTCTTCAAGAAAGAGTTGAAGAAAATATTTTTGAACTACTTAATTTTGGAATTTATGCAGGTGACACTATCTTATGAGGTCATTTAATATAAGCCCCTAAAAATATTACATTATTTCTTAAACCACACAAAATCAACTTATGGAGTGTTGTAGCAAGGCTTTTGAGAAGATTCTTATTTCTGAAATCAATAATAGTAAATACTATTCAATTTTAGCTGATAAAGCATCTGATTGTGCCAATCTTAAACAGTAGTCTATTGTTATAAGATATGTAGGCAATAACTATAATACTCGTAAAGATTTCTTAAAGTTTGTTAACTGTCCTTCACTATTTAAATGTGCTCTTTTTAAAAAAAAAATTAGAGGCATGTTTAAATAATTATCTTTCTGTTGGTAAAGCAAAGCTAATCAATGTCAGTTTTACTTGTAGAGTTTAAAAACAGAAAAATATAGACTTTTTTTTTTAGCTTAAGTCTCTTCATAGTTGATGTTTAAATTTTATTTCAATGTAACTTTAGTTTTAACCAAAATTTGATGAGTTGATTGTTTTAGATTGTAATTAGACTCCAATATAAGCAATACGACATGTCTCAAATTTCAGAATCTTGAAATTGACAATTAAACATGCTTCAAGAGATTAAATTTGGTATTGATTTATATTGCTACAACTGGTCTAATATCGCTTTTGAATTAGCTATGACTTTAAATGCAAAAGAAAACAAAAAACTAGAAAATGTAGAAAGCAAATCAATCATGATAATCATTCATCATCTGATTATTTTAAACTATCTATCACTTTACCTTTGCTGGACCATCTTATTAATGAGCTTATTAATTATATAAGATTTCAAACAGAAAGCAAGTTGGTTTATATGGGATGTTTGCAGTTCCAACTGTTATGTTAAGTTACCTGAAAACTAACTAAGATTTGCAAATCTACTTTCATGAATTTCTAGATATCTATCATTCCAACTCTGTATTCAACCTTTATTCATTCAGAGTTGGATTATGGAAGCCTCTTCAGAAAGATCAGTGAAAACCCCCGTTTTGTATTTTTTAAACAAAAGTCATGACAATGACTGATTTCCCCTTCCCCCCCCCCCCCAACATTCTTGAATATTTTAAAGATTTAAATCTAGGTACGAAGAAATTAAAAACTTATTCCAGAAATAGAGCGTTAAAAAAGTCATTGAGTGACCTAACTAAAAATGTCAATTTATATCGAAATGGTTCTAGATAAAGACCGGGTTGATAAAAATTTTTCAGCTTCTGGAGAGAGATGTGTAAAGTTGCTATTTAAGCCTTAAATATTTGGCTATGATTGAATAATAATTATATTTATATGTGAATAAAGTAATTGAATATCTCTTATATTTACAATCATTTTTTTGTTTTTTTCATTGTTTAATTTTCTCTTTGAACATCTTATTTTTTATTTGTTATAAATATTTAATAAATGAATTTATTTTCTATTTTGTGTACATTTCATAATCCTTGACATCTAAAATTTTAAATATTTTATATTAATTTGTTCTTAGCTAATTAATGTAAACCACTAAATAAAAAATTTATATGTGTGTTAATTTCGTTAGAGTATGCTATAAAAAGAGTGCTCGGTAATCATAAAAAACAAATATGTAATAAATAAGCTTCCTGAGGATTCTATAGATAGTGAGACTGTTAAAATCTTTTTTTTTTTTTAATATATATTTATATATAGTAGTATACAACTTTAAAGTAAATATCTTTTGAATAAATCACGTAATCACATTGTTAATGCAGTATTAGTTGCATTTATTCTATTAATAACAAAAATATAAAGGAAAGAATCCAGAGTTAGAGAGCTAACATAAAGCAACTTTACAACTTACATATGGAGTGCAAAGTCCTATGGCTTACCTTCTAGTTGGTGCACTTCGTTAAGTAAGTTAGACATTATTTCTAAATTACGAACAGAATAGCCAAGGCAAATATTAAAAATTTTACCATTAATTATTTTACTAGAATCCATTAAAAATAAATGAAAAAACTATGTGTGCAAAAAGTCAATTAAAGACGTTCAGATAAAAAAAACTGTCTACATGACATAATTATCGGGCGTCTTTTTGACGTAAACTAACCGACCCACTAAATAGCGGCAATTATGACGTAATTTTACAAATTTTAGCTACACCTATATAAAATCCTAGGTCCGCCCCTGGTATATATATATATATATATATATATATATATATATATATATATATATATATATATATATATATATATATATATATATATATATATATATATATATATATATATATATATATATATATATATATATATGTATATATATATATATATATATATATATATATATATATATATATATATATATATATATATATATATATATTATATATATATATATATATATATATATATATATATGTATATATATATATATATATATATATATATATATATATATATATATATATATATATATATATATATATATATATATATATATATATATATATATATTATTATTATTGTTATTACTACTATTATTATTATTATTATTATTATTATTATTATTATTATTGCTATTATTATTATTGCTATTATTATTATTATTATTAAAGATATTAAAGACGTATTAAAAAAATATTTACGCTTTTTAATAGAATTTCACAAAGTTGAGAAGTTTAACTGCGTATCTAAATAAAATGAAGATTTTGTAACACTTCTAAGGTTACGTGACGTAACTTACGCTATTGTTTCAAATTATAAACAAAAATTCACGCAAAAAACAAATTTAGTGCTAAACATGCCAAGTTTGAACCCCCCGGTTTATTTTGACTCAAGTAGAAAAACAAAGAAAATAAGATTAGCGCAATTATTGCATCTTTTTTATCTTTAACTATTTTTGCATCATGTTGTTGTTAGCGCCAAGATGGTAAAGAAAACGAAGCTAAAGCTGTTTAACAATGATCAGAATATATAAGTTTTGGTTTGAAAACTAATATTGAAGCAAAACTTTTATATTAATTTATGCACAAAAAGATTTAAGATTTAAATTCTTTTCGTATGGATTATGTAGTTTATTTAAAAAAAATATAAATATAAAAAATATAAATTAGAGCCTGAAACTGCATAAAAACACCTAAAATTAGTAATTGAGTATGCGTTTAATTTTTTATATGCATTATATAATTTTCAATAAGACTGCCACAATAATATTAGTCTAGTTTATAACATTGATGTTTTAAAAAACTTAAGCTTTTAACAATGCAAAATGAAATGTTGCCAAGCATTTCATGAGTCAATATTAATCCTATGTACTTACAACAAACTTTGAATTATTAACACATTTCAATTTAGAATTGTCGTGAGCGCATAGAATTAACTATGCATTTTGTACTACAAGATAAATAGCACTTAAGTGTTCTATACTGCATTTTATAATATGTTTTTCATTATATATCAAAAACTAATTTCCATACGTTGTTGTCAAAAATATTAGAAATTTTGTTTAATTATAATACTGTTGTCAAAAATATTAGAAAAACAGTTTAAACATTGAACTTTGCGGTCTTGACATTTATGTGTTGTAATCAAATAAATCAACAATATTTATTTAGATATCGCTTAATGCCTTTAGAACAAAAACAGCAAAAAAGTGGTTTCTATTAATTTTAACTTCTGATAGAAAAAAAAAAAAAAAAAAGATCCAGAAAAAATATAAGATGATCACTTAGTTTAAAATCTACTTAAAACTAAAATTGTTTTATATCAGGTTCTGCTACTAGCTGCATCAATTATCTACAAGATTTTAAGAACAAACACGTGATAACGATCAGCCTTGTTTGTATGATGTTAAGCTATGTTGTCTTTAAAAAAATAATATTTTGTTACTTTTACCATTTTTGTATTTTTGCTTAACAAAATGAAGTGAAAAATTATAAAATTTTTGTAGTAGTGTGAAACAAATTTACCTTTATTTAATTAGGTTTTTGTTGAAAAAAAAACTTAAATGGATAATAACAAAACCATTAAGCAAGAGCATGTCATCGGTGACAATTTGAATTTATCAATTAACGGTACCAATTTACAAAATGTGGACGATGCTTGTAATAAAGAAAAGTGGTACTACATTGATAAAGATATGATACCAGCTAAATTAACTTATTTTTTCATAGGTGCAGAAAGATCGTCCGTATCACCTTTTCTAACCATTTTTTTAATAAGTATTGGTCTAAATCTAAAACAAGTTGGTTACGTTATTTCTTTTACTTACGTTGGTCAAATTATAGGAAGCGTTTTTTGGGGTGTTATAGCTGACAAAACTGGTGCACAACGTGTTATATTTATATTGTTATGCTTTTTTTATGGCACGCTCTCATTGTCAATTTCTGTCGTTAGTTCAAGAATAGGAGAAAGAAGTAAAAACCATTGCCCAATTATATTAAGCAACAATGTTTCTAACATCACGGTAAACAGTTCAACATTAATTAACAGACACTTTGGTGGATATGTTCCAGTATCTTCAACAGTTCTGACATATGTTATAGCAACTTTGGGTTTTTTTATGGCATCTTTTAGTGGAAGTATTTACAGCTATATTGATGCTAGAGTTATTGAAAAAGTGAAAGTATCGGTCAAAGAGAAAAACTTTGGGAGGCAGTTTATGTTTTCAAACATTGGGTTTGCCTGCGGGGCATTAGTTTCAGGAAAAGTAATGGATATATTTCCGATTGCAGACATATCATGCTATTTTGCAGTATATCTTGTTTCTGTAATATTTTTATCAGCTTCATGTATAAGTTTCCAATATTTGTACAGAAGTACAAAAACATCTAAAACTGAAGTTAAAAAAAAAGATGAAAAAGAAGAATTAAGGTCAGAATCTTTTCAAAAAGATCTTATAAAAACACTGTTAAGCTTAGAAGTGAACCTCTTTTTCATCACAATCATTGTGAACGGTCTATTGTATAGCATATACTTGAGCTATTTTTTTTTATTTATGAGGCAACTTAAATCTTCTAATTTGTTAATTGGATTAACAGTAGCGTTTGGATCAACCTCAGGTGTGGTTGTAAATTTTTTTAATGGAGTAATCATAAAACTACTTAGAGGAACATTTAACACAATGATTATGTGCACGTTTCTTTGGTCGGTTCGTTATTTCATCTTTTACTTCTTGAAGAATCCTTGGTTAATCATACCGTTACAACTGACTCTCCATGGATTAAGTCTGTCGCTGTTTTTTAGTGTAAAATCAGAACATTTAAAACTTATTGCTCAAAAAAGTATTCACACAACAATGTTTGGAATTGTTCAATGTTTACATAGTGGCGTATCAATGATTATTGGAAGCCTAATAGGTGGAAAATTGATTGATACTTACGGCGCTCGAAAAACATTTCTTTATGCTAGCATATTTGCACTATCGTGGTCAGGAACTTTGTCTACGTACTTTATTGCTAAACGGTTTCGGTTGTTATGGGGTAAAAATGGATCTATATTTGCACTACAGCCTGAATTCTTAAGTGAAAGTAACTTACATACAAACAAAAACTGTAAGGATATAATTAAGTTTTAAACATTTACAGAGTTATATTAATAATTATATATCGGTAAAAAATTAAAACATAATTATTTTTTTAATAACGAAAGTTATGTAATATATCTAGTGTTTTTTTTAATTGTGGGGTAAAGTATAAATGGCAATGATACGAAACGTTGGTAATAATAAATGCAACTCTGAGGAGAAGTTTAATTCCACCGCTGTATAAAAAATGATTACGCCAGCAATAATGTTTTTTCTCTATTTATATTTCCTATCATTTTATATTTATTCATTTTAAATATTTATATATTTATGCATATAAATATATATTTTTTAAAGTAAGTTAAACTTTTGTAATTAATGAAGATTTATGGTTAGTATGGCAAAACAAATTTCCGTTCTGAGCATGTCACGTTAAGTTTTATATTTTATATTTCTTTTGGATCTTGCTCGTTGGTCATGATTTGTCATTAGGAGTCTGAGTTTATAATTTTTATTACATGTGTCTAAATTATTATTATTCTTTTATACAACACCCTTTACTATAGTCATTATTTAGAAATAAGATAATCCTTTATTGTTAAGTAGTTTACCGTGCATTTAAAAACATTGTTGCCTAATATAATGATTTTTTAATCTTTCCTCATTCTTGAACAAACGATGGGGATTAACAATGAAAGGTTAACATTAAAAAAAAACATAATAATGTTTCATTAATAAATAAAAGTAAAATAACATTATTACACCCGTAGTGCATCAGTTTTGTGATAACACCCTAAAAAAAGCTTCCAAAACATAAGGGACGTAAGAAAAAGGAAGAAAGTAGCCTACTAGTTTTAGATTTAGACCAATACTTATCAAAGGTTCAAAAAGGGTGATATGAATGATCTTTCTAAATTATGAAACACAAGTTAAATAAGCTGGAATCATATCTTTATTGTGATAACACTTTTCTTGATCAGCCTAACCTAACAATGGTCAGAGTAACAAGATACTGATTTTTTTTTAATCAAACAAAGCCAAGTAACAAACAAACCTGATACTGGTACGAAGTGGATACTCAATACAGTATTTAGAAGAATCCAAGACAAAACTAAGTTTATATTTATATTTTAATGAAAACCCTCAGATAAATGTAAATACAAACTAAATGCAACGGGGACGACTGAATAAGCGCGAATTTCATAAGGGCGAACTGGCTTAAGTGCAAATAGGCATAAGTGCGAACTAGCATAAATGCGAAACAGTTTCAAAAATTGTCACAAGTGCGAACTGATATAAGTGCAAATTGGCATAAATGCGCCGAACAAATTTGCAAACATTGGCATAAGTGCGAATTGGCATAGGTGCGAAGCAGTTACCAAAACTGGCACAAGTGCAAATTGACATAAGTGCGAAATACTAATTTGCACTTATGCTAATATTTGAAATTTTATTCGGCGCATCTATGCCAATTTGCACTTATGCCAGTTTTAGTAACTGCTTCGCACTTATGCCAGTTCGCACTTATGCCAATATTGTCAAATTTATTCGGCGTACTTAATTCAATCTGCAGTTATATCAGTTCGCACTTGTACCAGTTTTTGCAACTGCTTTGCACTTATGCCAGTGCGCACATTTACCAATACGCGCTTATGCAGCCTCCCCAATGCAACGCAGTTAATAACGCGGTTTGCGCATATGCTTAAGCGCGCAAAATTAAATAGCTATAAAGTCTTTGAAATACAAAACTTTTGACAAAACCTTTGATAAAACAAATTTTCTATACTTCAAAAAATCATTTGTATGTACTACTGTATAACCCCACAGCATCTACAGCCATTTTAATTTTTTGCTTCTATTTATTTTAACTGTTCAACTTCAGTTATGTAAAGTTAAAATGCCTGTGTTGATTTTCATTGAAAAGCAAGTTTTGTAAAATAGGGTAGATGGACGCACGTTAGCTCGCTATTTTTCTTTGACGTGTGACATTTTAGTTGTTTTTTTTTTTTTTTTTTTGATTAATAAGATTCTATACTTCCTATTATTAAAAGTTCATTATTGGCTTCCACTTTCTCTTTCCCACAGAAAACCTAGTTCTTTCAAACCAATTTATTTTTTTATTATTAAAGTACTTTATTCTCTTGGCTGAAAAAGGACTTTGCGTAACCTCTTTTACAACCGATCATAAATGATAGCATTTGAAAATACTTCAAGAATCTTGTGAATCTCGAGCTAACGGTATGCTTTCAATAATTCGTCATTATCTCGATAAAGTTACACTTAAGAATATTTACTATGCATTATTCTCATCTCATCTTAGCTGTTGTTGTAAAGTTTGGGATTAAGTTGGAAACTATCGCATTAACAAGTTGCCATCGTCTCAACGTCAATCCATCAGGTTAATAAACTTCCAATCAATTAAATCAAATACATTGAAATCCTTCAAAAAACTTTTCATTTCAACATTTCCGGCACTAGTTAAGTATGCTAATCTTCTTTTTGTTTTTGACCCTCTTAAATAAAAACTTACCATCTCCTATAACAAACTTGTTCACAGAAAGTAGATTATTACATTTCTACTCTAGAAATATACACAATGAAATACTAAATGTACTAATTTTTAAAACTCAAAAGTATGGTAAAGGTTCTGTTATTTATCAGTACTTCTGTGAATGGAATAGGAGGCTTGCATGCATTTTGAATGAGTCCGCAAAAATATATTCTAAAATATACCTTTACTTCATCTTAAACAGTATTAATTATAAAAAAATCTGAAAAACTTTTTATTCTTACTTTTAGTCATTAGTATCCTTACGATTAAAATACTACTTTAATTTTCTTTTCGTCATTACTACAGTTATCATCATTACATTTTGTTTACTTTTTTCATTTTTTTATTAAAACCTGCAAAATATAATTTCTACATGATTGATTTGATGTATGTTATATGTGCTTTGGTTTGTGTGTAAAAGGTCTATGTGTTTCAGTGTGTGTCTTTGCTTATTATAAACATTTCAATTTACAATAATTTGCATAGAGCTGAAAATTGGTACATACCTTTGGGAAATTATTACATATAAAGTATTACTCAGATAACATATCATATATATATTCTGAAAAATAATTTCATCGATATTTGCAAATAGTAATTCTACTAATATCAAGTAAACACCAAAAATATAGATCTTTATATATATAATTAGTAATAATTATAAGAATAATGATTATAATAATAAAAATAATATTTATAGTAATAAATATAAGAACCACAATAATAATAAAAAAACAACATCAATAACAATTAAAATATTAATTAAATTAAAAAAAATAATCAAATAATAAGTCACTTGTTTTTATAAACACAATAGCTAAATATACATATAAGTCAGTTACCAACAATTGACTGATAAAACGTAATAAATAACAATAACATATAACATTTATTTAAATTGAAAATAATAAAATATGAATAATAATAGTAAAGATAAAAAATAGTAATAATTGTGGCTACGATAAATATTTAGAATTAAAAGAAATAAAACTATAACAAAAAAACAAGATAAAAATTGAAGATAAAATAAAGAAAAACAAAAAAGCATTAAAAAAATAAGAAAGTTTAATATTGTTAAATGCACACACCAACAGAAATATAAAGATATATACACATACTTACCCACATACATAGATACACACATATATACACTCGCGCGTGTACATGCACTCAGATAGCTATGTATACATGTAAATATAGATACATATACATATACAGCTTTAAAAATATATACATTTTTTAAAATGTCAAACTAACATATAATTAAAAACATTTATATTAAAAAACATACGATGCAAACAACGCACTAAATTATATAACAAAATGAATTAAATTTTACAATGCCCAATTAACAATACACAAGAATACAAAAACAAAATACACCAACATCAAAAAAGACAAACGTCCCTCAATATTAATAAAATTTAAAAAATATTCTTTTACGTTTCTTCAAAAACGGAGCAATTTTTATATTTTATTTTAATTGCTTTTAATTACTTTTCATTTTCGAATGTTTTTTTCGTTAAACTTTTTTTTTTCGTTTCTTTTTATGTTTTTGTTTTTTTTTGTTAGTTTCTTTGACTTGGTTTCTTGTTTGTTTTTTGCTTTTTCGTTTTCTTCTTTTTTTTTTTTTTTTACTCTCTTTATATTTATTTTTCTTATTTTATTATTTTTTTCTTTTTCATTCTTTTTTTTTGTTTTATATATACATATACATATACACGTTGGCCATATATATATATATATATATATATATATATATATATATATATATATATATATATATATATATATATATATATATATATATATATATATATATATATATATATATATAATTATTTTTAAAAATAATACGATGTTTTTTATTCTTGACATGTTTTATAAAATTTTATTTACATTTTCAAAAGATTATTTTACAATAATAAAACAATAATTGTCATGGCAATTTTATATGGAACAATAAAAATACCTTAAAAGTAGAGGTTAATAATTTTAACAGAAAAGTGAGGGAAGCGAAGTTATTACTTGAAATACAGCGCCATGAATGCTCACCTTCAGACGGCGGTCTAAATCAGGACGACGGAGGTTACGTCACAACTTCCTTTTGGAAACCTATGTTTCGGTATTTAAATGAAAAGAAACTATTGCATTGATTTGTTTTTTGTTTTGTATTGTATTTAACGGTTTTTTATATATATTTATATACTTGACAACGAGGGTATCGATAATCCCTTGAAATATTGTATGAAAATTAATTTCAAATAAAGAGTTACATCCATAATAGAAGTTTCAATTTGATTATATTTCAAACTCTTTAATGATGTCTTTTAAAATTTTAAAAATAATAATAAAACTCTGAAATAAATATTAAAAAAAAAAAGCCTTTAGAGAGACATATGAAATATAGAACTCTGTAAAGGCTTCTATTTTTTTAATGTTTATTTCAGAGTTTTATAATATAATAATAACCTTTTGAAAATGTAAATAAAATTTTACGAAACATGTCAAGAATAAAAAACATAGTGTTATTTTTAAAAATAATACGTATTATATATATATATATATATATATATATATATATATATATATATATATATATATATATATATATATATATATATATATATATATATATATATATATAATAATAATAAATTATTTGTAAAAAAATATATATTTTTAAAAACAATTACTTATTATATATATATTCCAGGACATTTCCAGGACATTCCAGGACATTTTGTTGAGTTTTCCAGGACATTTTATATCTTATTAAATAAATATTATCAATTGTTTTACGTTATGTTTTTTTCATATTGATTGAATTATAGAAAAGAATATTATATTATTATTACTCTTTAATTTAAAATTAAATTCAAACCATTTATATAAAAAAAAATTTCGCATAAAAAATTTAATATTACTTCAATATTATTATTAATTTTTTAACTTGACATTTTTTAATAGTGTTTTTAATATATATATATTATATATATATATATATATATATATATATATATATATATATATATATATATATATATATAAGTAATCAAAAAGCATTTCTTATCCATCACGTGATCGTTGATCATTATTATGGTATTGTTTATTCATATTTAAATATATTAATATCGTTGATCATTTTTATGGTATTGTTTATTCATATTTAAATATATACATATATATATATATATATATATATATATATATATATATATATATATATATATATATATATAAATATATATATATATATATATATATATTTAAATATGAATAAACAATACCATAAAAATGATCAACGATATTAATATATTTAAATATGAATAAACAATACCATAATAATGATCAACGATCACGTGATGGATAAGAGATGCTTTTTGATTACTTTGAGCCTATTTGTTTACATAACTATAACCTCTCAAGTACTGATCTGTATATACTATATCGATGCTCTTAAAAAAACAAAAAAATAAGCGAATATTCCGTTATTAATCGATCAATTATAATTATCCATTACGTGACGTTTTTAAAAAGTTTTCCGGCTCATTAAAATACCTCATTTTTACGTAATGTTCTGGGCTATTTTTAAGCACATTTCTGTCAACTGTCTGTTTCTACTTGTTTATAAGAAAAAAACATTTACAGATGGTAGTTAACTTTTTTATTTTTATTGATCCCAGCTTAAACAGCGGAAACTCGCTCCAACATGGGGCAAGTTTAGTAAAAATAATTATTTTATTATTGATATATTTTATTTTCTTTTTCAGGTTCAAACATAAAATATATATATTCTGGAGTATTTTATAACATTTTGGAATATTGTAGATTAATTACCTCGTTTTCAGTGCAAGATTGCAAGTCATCCAAAAAAGACATTTTGTCTCTTCAATAAAATGTCTTATAGATATTCCAGAAATAGTATATAATAATACAGGTGTATCTGGATAAAAAATCTACCCTATTTTTCCAAAAATAAAAGAAATCCAAAAATTCCATCTATTGAAAAACTAACCAATCTCACGCGGATGCCGACAAACCGTCAAATTCTTGGAAACTTTACTTTTCTGTTCAATAGCGAGAAACGGCGACTGGATCGAATCAAGATTGTGGTTACAGATATAAAAAACTTTGGGAGGAAATTCTAGACTTTCCACTGTTATCCGGCGCACTCATAAGATAGAAGCTCAACAGTCTGATTTATTTATCAAACAAAAACAAAAAGAAACCATCTGATAAATTCACTGCAACACTTTCTCAGTTATTTGATGTCACCAACGTTAATGGAGAATGGAAAAACACGGAAGATAAAAAGCTCTACCTGAGGCAAGTTGAGAGTAGAGGAAAGATTGGTTATTCAATAGTCAAACAAGCTCCTCTGGAATTAATCCACCCAAGAAAACGAATCCGACTATCAAAAACTCAAGCCCAAGCCAGCTCTTCTCAATTGCATCCCACACAAACACATAAAACTTTCTCAAATTCTTCGGATTCTGAACCTACTATTTTCTCACCCGATTTGCAAACCTCATTTTCTACGTCATCTCCTGAATGGGCAAATGCTTGGTTCCATTCGCGACACTACAATGAAGCATCCTTTAATGAACTAAGAACCTCACTTATCAAGGTAAAATGCAAGAAAGCAATTAAGTGTTTAAAGACACATTGGTCAATCGAGGAGTCATTCGTTGATATTCCCAGATCTAACCAAATTGCTGAACGTGTGGTAAAACTGATGGAGGAACTTTATGAAGAGTCAAGAAAACTTAAGTTTTTGAATTTGAAGTTCTTTGGAAAAAATAACTTTTAAACATTTCATGTAAATTTTGTACATATTACTAATGTTCTCCATCTTATTTGTTCATAAAAGTTGCTTAGATAAGCTATTACTTTTATTATTTTGGATAAAGCTAAAAAACATGTCCTTTTTTGAAAAAAAAACATTTTTTCATTTTTCTTTTACTGTGTGAGTGGGGGAACTTTTTAAAAAACATCAAAAATGCAATTTATATTCTTGAATTACACATAAAGTTTCCTCAATTTCAAGTGGTTTCATAAAGTTTTTTTTTGTTTTAACCCTAATATATATATATATATATATATAAATATATATATATATATATATATATATATATATATATATATATATATATATATATATATATATATATATATATATATATATATATATATATATATATATATATATATATATATATATATATATATATATATATATATATATATATATATATATATATATATATATATATATATATATATTTGTCATTATTATTTTTGAATAGAGTTTTGAATGCTATCCTAAATAAAGAAATTTATTTATTGTTGCAGTTATATCATGCATGTAATTGTATTAATTGGGGTATCAAAAGGTACATTGTCAATCTTTAAAAAAATCCATAGAGGCTAAAAAGTGACCTGTTAGGTTGAAGTTATGTGAAGGAAAAGTGATGCAAAGAAGTCTTAATGATATTTCAAAATTTTATAAATAAAATCCTGAAAAAATTATCAAATAACTTAAGTAGTTAAACCAATCCCAATAAGAAAAATGACGTCGGAACAACGTTGTTCTAACGTCTTTCGTATCGTTGGAAAGACGTTGGCATGATGTTATAAATGAATCACCGAAACAACGTCATTTTACTAACGTTATTACAGCGATGTAAAATGACGTGGTGACAACGTTACATTTTAGTTAAATGACGTCGGAAAGACGTTAGAGCAACGTTAAATTTGAAGAAAAAAGACGTTATAAGGACATTAGGCTAACGTTATATTTTAGCTAAAATGACGTTGAGCCAACGTCTTTTCCATCGTTTTTTACACGTTTGAATAATGGCATATATGAAACATAGGTCGACGTTATATTAACAATGTTGCGAAACGTTGTAAGAAAAACGCCCTCCAACGTTTTTCTATCATTTTGATGTTATTTCTACACTGCAAAAAACAATAAAGGACAATTTTACACTGTATAACTTTGCGCTGTCAAGCTATATTTCTTCTTATTTATTTAGGTTATACACGATTATTATATTTGTCCGGGAAAATAATTGAATACGGAAATTAAAAGACTAAAAATAAATAAACATTGCATCACTTCTATTCCAAAATTTTAAAACTATATACAATAACTTAGAATGAAACTAGTTTGATTTTTACTTTCTTTGCAAATTTCAATCATGTCTCAAATAATTCGTGTATTCTTTATTTGACACTAAAAGACAAATATATATGAAGAAACATAAAGTTACAAACAAATCCAATTAAAAGCATTTTTAAGAACTAAATAAAAAAACATTCGAAATAAACAAATAGAAATACCAGAAATTGCGCTAACTTTCTATGTGATGCTAACCTAAGTTTTTCTGCTTTCGAAAGATTATCGACTGTAAATCGTTTAGCAACATTATCTGAAATAGAATAAACAATACCTCAATAAAATGCAAAACTAATGAAATTGCGTCCAAAATAATTTTAATTAAATAAATAAACAAAATTAATTTAAAACACACAATCATGAAATAATGGAAAAAAAATATGTCTAGTTTTACCCTCAAAAGATATAAAATATCTTTGAGTTCAGATTTCTGAAAAGTTATTTTTTTACAAGTGTTATTTTGGCAATATATTTTTTTATAACATGAATTGCATGGTAAATAAAGAAACTGAAATGGTACATTTTCACTAAGCAAAGAATCAAAAATTGTTTTTATAAATAGCTCTCTTTAAGACTAATGATTACTTTGTTAGGTGTTTTTTCTTCCAATCCGAACTACTTATATTTCACTTAAACCCTTGACCATTTGAGCAAGTGGCATCTTCTTACCAAAAGCCAATAATTTTTTAAATAAAAAGGCAGACTTATCAAGAAACAATCATTCAGAAAACTATAAAAAATGAATAAGGTTATGTAAATTGTATGTTATGAATGTTGGACCATAATAATCCACAGCCTTAATAATCCAGTCATCCAAACCAATTTAATAGCATCAATGCATAATTAATGCATTGATTCTGCTAATTTAATTTGTATCTTCAGTGCAAAGAGACCAGTATATAAAAGAAATTAACTGTATAGCCTTTTATTTTTTAAAACTCCACATGTGATCTAGACTTTCTGTTTTTAACAAAATCAGATAGTTTTTAACCATCTAATTTTGTTAAAAGTCATGAGACTTTTCAGAAATATGATCAATTTGAACATATGACAAATCACATAACTCTAGCTCCGTTTTTTCAAAATATCAATAATTGACGGACAATACTAAAACAAACTATATAATATAAACTAGATGATATATTATACAAACTAGATGTCAAACTTGCGGTCCTTTATTGAACAAAAAAAGATGTCGCTTTTTTTGCTTAAAAATATAATTTTCCATTTGTAAAAAGTGTTAAAGCTGAAGCAAATGTGTGGAATAAAAGTTCAAAATGCGAGTCAAAATTAACCAATAAATTAAAGATAATTCAAAAACATGTTATAATAAATATAAAGTATTTATCAAGGTTTATTTAAGGTTTATTTCTATTTTAAATTTTAATCCCTTTTTAATCAAAAATAAATTTAGAAATCATAAATTATTACTTTACAAGTACTCTAATTTCCTCTTAACACTTTTACATATATAGATTATATATATAGATTTAAAATATATTACATATATAAAAATATATTTACTTCATATATAAAAAATAGTTAAATAGTATTTGTTTACAAATTTAATCTGTCATTTGTAAAAAGGACAAAAGCGGCTTCACTTTTAGGATTGAAATAAGACAACTAGTTTATATCAAATATCATTGGTTAATACACATGTGATCATTATGGAGCATACTTTTAATATCAATGGCTAGATGCGAAAACCAAGATAAATGTAATTACAATAATTTTTCAGTATTCACATGACTAGGTGTTTTAGTAACATTTATTTCCTATGCCCATGTTGCTGCATTCAAACAAGCAAGTTATATAATGAAAATGTACAACTAAATGTTTAACTGGCCATTGAACAAGGTCAAAAATTAAAAATCAGGACAAATATCAAAGCGTTAACTAAATGAGCACTTTTTATAGAGAGTTTAGTAAAATATAACATAGAATCACTTTCAAAAATATAAAAACTATTGGATTAGGCTTAAAGAAAAAATCACTGATTAAACTTCAATAATTATCATTTTCTAATAAACTGTTTATAAAACAATTAGCCTTTCACAATATAATTGACCTTGACACATTTATCATTTATATATATATATATATATATATATATATATATATATATATATATATATATATATATATATATATATATATATATATATATATATATATATATATATATATATATATGTATATATATATATATACATATTTATATATAAATTTTGACAATTTTCATAATTCAAATAGCATTTTTTAACTTTTAGGAAATGAACTTTTATAAAAAAAATACTTCAAAATGTTCTATTGATATCATTTTTATAGCCAATTGTATTAGTTTGCTAATGTGTTATATAAATATTCACATGCAATATGTATACTCATTTAAAGTAATATTAAAATAATAATCAACAAAATCTTTGCATTTATTCATAATGCCTGCAATGTTTTGAATATACATAAAACAAATAAAAATATAAATGAAGAAATACAAAAGTTACCTCTGAATTAAGTTCTTAACATATTTTGGTAACTTTCCGCCAACACGTGAGAGTTGGCCTAAAAAAGAAAAATATATATAAAAGGCACATGTGAAGTGTTTTACACATAAGATCTTATTTAAATATTTTTTACTGCATTCACCAAGGTCAAGCCTTAAAGACCCAAGCTTATTTAAGAAACAGTTAGAACTGAATAAGTATTTTGCCATGATTCAATCAGAGCAATCATGGCAAACTCATAAATATAAAACATTTTTATTCACTAAATTTTGTAACGGAAATAAAATTTTAAAACATTAGAATTATTCAATATTGTTTTTTCACAATTTTGTTAGGCTGCAACCAATCTAAAATGTTTAAAAACATTTAGAGACTGAATAAATAGGATGACATAATTTGTAACAGCAAATGATTTAGATTCATTTTAATGAAGTGATTGTAAATTTTTTGCTGTTTTAAAGGCTGGGCATTAAAATATATTGTCCAGGTTTTGTTTTCTAAATCATGTTAAACATTTTGAAATCAAACTCACAAACTGTTGAGCAAAAACCTTTGTTACCAATTCTTAGTGTAAACTCGTTCAAATATTCTATTGTTAAGTTTAAGTTTAAGATTAAATATTGTGATTATGTATATTTAAGTCGACTTGTTCTGATTTTAAACACCTTAATAACTTAGTACTTTAACTCTGCACATAAAAATTGAAGAAAAATAATAACATTCAAAAAATATGTATTTTAACTTGGCATGAGTTTTATTAAAATATAAGATTAATTAGTTTTTCGGTTAGAAAGATAAGAGAATAAGTAAATGATAGTACTATGATGATATATATATATATATATATATATATATATATATATATATATATATATATATATATATATATATATATATATATATGTATATATATATATATGTATATATATATGTATATATATATATATATATATATATATATATATATATATATATATATATATATATATATATATATATATATATATATATATATATATATATATATATATATATATATATATATATATATATATATATATATATATATATATATATGTATTTTGGTATAACATGTCAATTTTAAAAACTATATCATATCACATATCATATACAAAAACTACACACAAATATATTTGACATGTACTGTATTGAAATACTTCGGAGTTATTGAGTTGAGAGGGGGTTATAACTACAATTGAAATAAAAAGGAGCCTCATCAACTGCAGCACCCTTTATGGCCTTTATGGCCAAAGTCAGCTCTTTCTTTCAACTCTGAAATTAGGGAAATATGAGATTGTGATTCATTTTGAAAATTAAATACTGACTGAGTGTATATCATCAAACATTTTGTGTGTATTGATTTAAATAAATATTTTGTTTATTATGACTAAGATCTAGTGAAAAAATTTAGATGTTCTGTTGCTGTTTCTGTAGGATATGATTTTCGCGTGCTTCATAGTGAGAAGTTATGAGTTCTATCCTTACCATGTTCCTGGTAGTAACCCGGAGGTGAATAACAATAAAAAAAAGTAAAATTAATATAACTTAATACAAATACATAATAAATTGTTTACCCTTTTTCGTGACTTGAGACTCAAACTTATGAGAGTAAGTGTTAGTTATAATATTGTAGGAATAGCATGATATGATCATACCAATATACAAATTCGTAAAGGAAACACATTACACAAGTTATAAGATGCTTATTAGGTAATTTCTAGTCTAGTTCCACAACAAACTAAAAAACTTTCCATTCAAATAAATAAAATATATATTATGATTAAGACATTGTCTTAATATAACTTAACTGTCTTAAATTTATACTTAATATATTATGTATATTAAGTAAAAACCTTGTTTTAATACAACTTACAACTGTCTTAGACAACTGAATTGAATGTCTTAAAAAAAAAGGCTCTTTATTTTTATTGGCATTTAATTAAACTGTAAAATAGTTTAATAACGGGTATTTAAAAAACCTATCATTGCATTATCTATTTGTAAATAAAATATTATGTGCAAATATTATATATGTTAGAAATTTTTACTTATAAGTAATGTTAAATATATAAAGTATACAAAAACATAACAAAAATGTCAACAGTTTTTGAAAATCAAATAAAGTTTTAGTAACTTTTATTTATCATTAATATGATAAAAGTTTAATATCTAATTTGAATGTAGAATATAAAGAAATAATGTATTAATTATTAGTATCACAGAATATAATGCCTAAAAACCATTAAATTAAAATTAGATTAAAAATAACAAAAGAAATAAAAAAACTATTAAGAAAACTAAAAGCTGATTACTATAAAATAAAAATTGATTCAGTCAAAAATGATCCTAAAGCTATGTGGAATTCGTTGAAATATCTAACATCTGTCAAACCAGTAATTAAATCAAATATAATGGATAATAAATTTGATGAAAAAAATGTTATTAGAAGTTTTCAAAGAGATGACACAAAAAAATCCATTCCAGATAAATATAATGAATTTTTAATCCAAAGTAAAATAGATATTGAAACATCAATTCAAAGTGATACGAGTTATAATGCTATGGAAAATGTATCACTAAATGATAATAATGCTTGTTTTTGTGAATTTACTCCTTTAACTATGCAAGACTTGAATGATATAGTAAATCAATTACAAAACAAGAATTCAATGTGTGAGGGCTTAAATGTTTTTATATTCAAACAATTATACTCATCATTTTCAAGTATTCTATTAAAAATTATTAATTTATCGTCAAAAAATGGGAAAGTTTCGTCTAAATGGAAAAAGTCAACAATCATTCCAATTCCAAAGCTAATGTTGCCAAAGTTACCACAAGACTTAAGACCAATTAATATGCTTCCTACTTATGAAAAAAAAATTAGAAATTGCTGTTCACAAGCAGTTGTCAAGTTATTTTGAAAGTAATAATATTTTTTATAATAATCAATTTGGTTTCAGAAAAAATAGATCAACTGAATCAGCTATTCAACTACTACTTTCTAAATGGAGAACATATTGGACCAAAAAGATAATTTTTCAAACTATAAATCTCCCTACTATGAATACTGTGCCTCTATTTTTCTTAATGTCAACACAAATAACTTGAATATCCTAGAAAAACTTCAAAACAAAGCAATGAGAATTATATTAAAATGTCACTGGTTAACTCATAAAACAGAAATGTTGAATTTGCTTGGTTGGCTCAGTGTAAAAAACAGAATAATTTTTAAATCAATCTGTTTCATTCATAATGTTACATCGACTGTAAATGATATATTTAAACCGTTCTATTCAAAAAATAGCGAGTTACACCAACATTACACTAGACAAGCTAGTTATTTTCATAAAAGCAGCTAATGCAATAGAGCAGGACAGAAGTCATTGTTTGTGTTTGGTTTGAAACTATACCAGGAAATAACTGGTGGATTTGTTGAGTTGGACTACAAAAAATTAAAAAAAAAACTGCTTCAAACACTAAAGAATAACTAACTTATATAGTGAACATTTATTTTGTAAAGGGGATTATTTATTTTGTATAAGTTACTAAACTAGCATTAAGTTGCTAAATAAATAAATAAAAAAAAAATAAGAAAAAAAAAAACATCTTTTTCGATAACGATTTTTCAACCATTTTAAAAATGCGCAAGTTTGAAAAATCAAGTTGTGTTTACGTTAGAAAGCTGACGTTGCTTTGATGTCAAAAGTAAAAACGTAAAAAAAGCAACGTTGTTCCAAAGTCGTTTCAACGTTAATCAGACTAACGTTGGTTTTACGTTAAACAACCAACGTTGTTCCAACGTCGTTTTAATGTTAACATTTAAGACTTTAGGTGATAACGTTTTTCCGACGTTGTTCCAACGTTTGATAGCAAGCGTTAGAACAACACGTTATGCCGATGTTGGAACATCGTTGGAATTTAGTTAACTTGCGTCGCGACCAAAATACAACCAAATTACAACTACGGCTTAACGTCTTTTTCTAACTGGGATTGCTTTATTCGTTACATTATACGATAGTATTATTAAAAGTAAAAAATTACACATTTTTAATTGATTTTTACTTTATTAATTCATCTTTCAATCATACTTCAATACAGTTCAAATGCTAGAATGTTTTAACAATTTTTTTTGTTATCAAAATAACCTTTATTAAATGTCTAATATTTATTCGATGGAGTTTATAAACCCTTTCTAGGTTTTTTTTTTCTTTTTTGACTAACGTATTCTTCGATTAAAAGTACTACACACGTAACAACCAAAACATTAAATTTAATTTTTTTCTTTTTCTCTTTTCAAATATGATTAGCAAATTTATATTCTACTAGAGGTGAGGATCTGTTAAAAAAATCCTTTCTGATCTGCAACTATAAATTTTTGAATAAAAAACTTCAATTTCACTTTAATTAATTTTAATAACTTCATTTTATTAACTTGAATAATAGCTTTGTATCATCTTTTAAAAATATGTACTTTGAAAGCTCATCTCTGATATATAGAAGGCAGAAAAAGGTCGTTTTTAAAAATAAGAATGTTTTTTAAAACAAAATTGATGAATTTCTTTGCAGAACACGTTGCAGCAAAGAGTGTTTGTAACAATAAGAATGTTTTTTTAAACAAAATTCATGAACTTAAAGAGAAACTATTTGAATGCTGCTTTGTTGTGTAGCGTTTGAATTTATGCTCCGACTTTTTATCATACACTGGTGAAAATAAATTAGGTTTGAGCGTTTTTACTCCCAATTTTAACGAGAAAAGAACTGAAACTATTGATAAACTTGAGTTTACTAAAAAATATATTTAATTCTAGATCTAATATGAAATAATCGATGCACTGTTGATCTGTTGAGTTCGCCATTTTTTAGATTTTTGTGCACTTATTGGTAGTCTGGGCACGATAAATAAACGATTTTCAACATAAATTCAAAGTTTTAACTTTTATTGTTCAAAAACAATTGAATATTGCGAAAACGGCCCAAATGGCCAGACTATCTCATATTATGACTATGAAAAAGTATAATATTAAAAAAAGTAATAAATTTTTCTTTACAGTTTTGACTAAAAATGGAGACCATATAAAACATTTTTTTACCAACCCAGTGGGCATTTCGACGTCGAACGAACGTCGAGCGACGTCGGATCTCGACGTCGGATCGACGTTGGGTTTAGGTTGGAAATGGAAATGTTATTTGACGTCGGATAAACTGACATCGCGCGACGTCGGCATTCCGATGTAAATCCAACGTGTTTTTTGAAAACTAAAAAACGTTGCCTTTGGCAGTGATCGAACTTCGGTCTATTAGAAACTAAGTCCTACGCGCTTACCACTACACCACAGCGACATATTAATTAAAGTGTTTATTTAGTAATTTATACTTGTAGCTATTTGGGAATTATTACTTTGATAAGAAATAATTTTTTTTAAATATTATATAAATATTAAAACTAATAGTTATATATTATAAAAAATGTATACTCGAAAATGTTAATAGTTAAAAAACTATGCTAGTGCATCATACAAAAAACTTAAATAAAGTTAAGCTTGCTTTAGTTATATCTATTTCAAAGGTAAAGAAAAAACTAAAACAGTGTGGACAAAACTATGATACATTTATACAAAAAGAAAATCGTTGGCTTCAAAGAAATCTTATGAACAATAAAAATAGCCATTTTGGTTCTGGAAGGCCCCATAAACAATTGAGTGTTCTTGGAGAGAGAATCAAAAGAAAAAAAATATAAGAACTAGCCACAGAACATCATGAAGCTCTATTTTTAGCTTCTGCAAAAAGTGCAAATGCTGCATTTTTCTGAAATTTCTGCAAATTGTAATCTTCAAAGCATGTTAGATCACACTGTGAGTAAAATAACAGAAATGATTGATATGCCTAATTTTGGTCAAAGTGATGAAATACTTGGAGTTTTTTATGGAAAGATTGGTTTTGATGGAGCATCAAGCCAAAGTATTTATAAACAAAAATACGATACAAGCAACGCAAGTATAAAAAGAGATTTAGGTACTCTTTAGAGAACGGTTAAGCCTATACGTTGATATGCCTAAAACTGGGTCTGGAAACACGAATGACGGCAACACTGCCAGAACAGCATTTAAAAATAGTAAAGTTTTTTCTGAAATTACTAAAGTTGATTGTGATACAAGTAAAAGATTGCATTATATTCTCAAAACCATTTTTTGTGGATATCCTATTAATATCAATGAATTAGATTTATACTGCACTGAAACAGCTGCACGTGTAGTGAGTTTATACAACTGGTATGTAATGCCTTCTACTGTACATAGACTGCTACTGCAAGAGTTCTTTTATATCAAATAAATTACCTTTGCCAATCGGGGTATATTCGGAAGATGCACTAGAGAGTTTAAATATATATATATATATATATATATATATATTATATATATATATATATATATATATATATATATATATATATATATATATATATATATATATATATATATATATATATATATATATATATATATATATATATATATATATATATATATATATATTACTAAAAACTTGAGTAACTAGCATTATATAACTATATACAGTAGTAATTAATCAAAATATCATAAAATTAAAATATGGAAATTTTAAATTAATTTATATAATGGCATTTATAATAAAAATC